GGACTTGAAGATCTACAAGGTCCCTTCCGACCCTACTTCTATGATTCTGTGAAAAGCTTGAGAAGAGTCCAGAGAAGAGCCACCCATATGATCAGAGATTTGCAAGGCAAGCCATATGTGGAAAGCCTGAGGGACTTGGGCCTCTTCAGCCTAAAAAGAGAAGGTTGTGAGGGGACTTGGTAGCAGCTTACCGCTACATGAGGGGCATACATCAAGGGCTCAGTGAACAATTATTCATCAGGGCACCCTTGGGGAAAACCAGGAGTACTGGCCACAAAGTCCTAGAAGACCATTTCAGGCTTAACACTAGGAAAAACTTCACAGTTAAGGTGTCCAAACTGTGGAATATACTCCCTCCAGAGCTGGTGCAGTCACCTACCCTGGAAATCTTCAAGAGGAGTCTGGACGGTCACCTCACCGGGGCCACCTGACCCCAATTGTCTTTCCTGCCTAGTGCAGGGAGTCTGGACCCAACGATCATGTGAGGTCCCTTCCAGCCCTTACAATCTATGAATAATGAACCTTTAGCTTTTGGGATCATTTTTTCAGTGTCCACTTGGAACATATTCTAAGAGTCTAAGTTCACCTCTGAGCCAAAATAAATGTCAAGGCTGTTTATAACACTAAACAAGAACAAATGGGGGAGATGAAAACTCCAGGCAGGGATATTAATTATTTATTAGGTTGATTTATTTATTTACAATGTATTCCATTGACACAGCTTCAGCTTTTACTGCCATGCTGTGGAATAACTTGTTACAATGTGAATGAATAATACTTTTGTGGAGTACATGAAAACTCAAAATTTAGTCATTTTAGTAAAATTTAGCAATTGAGTAAAACTCAATTCAGTAATTTATTGAGCTGCATATAGATTCTTTCTCAGAAATTGCTCAGAAAAAACAGTAAAAGAAGGTACTTGTATCTCTCAGAAATGTCCATACATTGACATTTAATATTGTAATGAAGTTGCTTTGAAGCCTGCTCAAAAATATGCAGGGTCAAGCAGCCTCATCATCCAAGGTAAAACGTTTTGATGGTTTACTTTCAAACAACCATGGGATAAATAGATTAAATTATTACAAGTATACATTGCCAAGAAGGCCTTTTTCCCCCCCTAGGTACTTAAAGCTTTCATTGGGGAAATGTTTGGAACTTACATGCTAGATTCAGCAGATATTCATATATACTCAAAATTTACCATGCTAGAACAGCAGTGAGATGCATTATTTATCCTAATTAAGAATAGAGGGGCTTGAAATGTAAAGAGTGTATGAGTGATTCTGCAGCCGTAGTTCCATCAGATTAAAATAAAGGGTTTTATGGGCATTAGTGGCTAGGAGACCACTTGCACAGGCACGCAATAGTACCCCAATTGCATTAAGACAGTGGGCTTCACCTCCACGGCCTCTCTGATTTCCTACTCTATCAATGATTATGCAGTTGTTGCTGCTACCGTAGCTGCTAACATCTCAAATCTCTGTTTCAACTATCTGCAAAAATATGTCAGGTAGCTAGAATTTTTTTAAATGCCTGCTGTTCATTTCTGCTATCCATAGCAAAACACAACATACTTCTAAGGATCAGATAGCCTAGGGCTCAGATTCTCAAAGATCTACCTCTTACTGAATTCAAAGGGTGTTAGGAGCCTAAATGCCTTTGAGAA